ATCGCTTCTAGGTTGGAGGCCATCGCTACTAGGTTGGAGGCAATTGCTATTAGATGCCAATTGGATGTTTTGCAAGTCACCAAGTCGCAGGGTGAAGCTGGAAGGTTGTGAGATGTGATTGGCCCAATTGCTAAGCACCACAAATGTTGGGTGCTCTCGGGAACTCGACTGGTTCCGAGCTTGAGCACCCGCCCAAACGGCGAACGGAGCAAATGAGCAAAGGAGGGGAGGTGAAAAACATGACGCCTCATCATGCATTCATTCGATGCAAAGGCAATTTGCTGCATTCCCTCGAGTGATCGAAAGATGAAAAGCAGGCACAGAGATGCAAAGAGCACATTGGCACTGCCGGCCTCAAAAGCAACCTTGAACCAAGGGGAAAAACGACAAGACTAACAGTGGCCGGGTGGTTCAACGAATTCTCTGCCTCAGACTGTTCTCTGGCCAGCTTTCATTCCATATAGGAGCCTGCACTAGAATGATCTCTGTCATCTGATATCTCCCGTCTGTTTGCCGGAACCTGTTCTGTGGGACCAGCATGCTATAGCACTCTGCTACTATTGAAGACTCATCGAACTTGACATAGTATTGTCACTAGTATTGTCAAACGAAAAAAGAATCCGGGATCTCCAACGAAACCAACACTTGCACCCTTTGCAGTTGATCTCAAACCAACTAGCAATCGCTACTAGGTTGGAGGCCATCGCTAGTAGGGTGGAGGCCATTACTATCACCATTTGGCTCGTCACCTCGTGACATCTCGTGACATCTCGTGACCTCTCGTGACCGTCGGCACCTGATCATGGAGCGAGTGGAAAAGAGCACCACGGCTGCGGTGAAGGCAGCTCCATCGGTGCCAGTGAAGCTCACAAGGTCGAGCAAGACTTCCTAGGAATCTACAATTCTAATTAAATTCTTCTTGTTACTAGTAGTAAGGAACTTGTTTCTAGTAGCTTCTTTGTTACTAGTAGTAAGGCACCTGTTACTACTAGCGTGGCACTTGTTACTAGTACTTCCTAGCTCACAAGGTAGAGCCAAGACCAGAAACCAGATGTTCAAGTGGAGACCAAGGCCCCGGCTGTTTCTTCAAAAAAGATCGAAAAATGTTCACAAAATGATGTTAAGAAAACGTGCAAGAATATAAATGGCAAATTGAATAGCACCTTTCACGTACTCGCTGGGCTCTTGGGCCAACTTCTTTCTTCGTGAGATTGGATCTTTGTTGAACCTCTCCAACTAGACACCAGTTCCACGTCTGCCAAGATGCTGTGCAGCCCCATGTTGGCTCCTGACAGCATTTCAACGCTCTACATGGAAGCTGAATCGTGTTGAGGTGTTGAACAAATGTTCATCCTCACATGCTCCTGCCTTGTTTGCTGCTGGGGAGCAAAGAGGCTCATTCAAGTCTGGGAGTGGAGAGGATTGCGCAGATTCCTTCAACCTTGGCTGTGAGCAAAAGGCACCGAGGAGGCCAAATTTGCACATGATGAGGCCTAAGCATCTGAGCAAAAACATAGAAAAGGGGACATGTCTTTTCTTGTCTCAGGATTAAGTTCCCTTCAGGGGAAGGCCATTGCTAGTAGGTTGGAGACCATCACTATTAGGTTGGAGGCCATTGCTATTAGGTTGGAGGCCATTTCTACGTATAATGCTGGAGGCCATCGCTATTAGGGGGAGGCCACCGCAATTAGGTTGGAGGCCATTGCCAAGCGTCGTAGTAGTCAAGCGTCCTTCGCGTGGCGAAATGCTTAAGGTGTCCAGCCCGGCAGCCGAGAGCGCCAAAGCCAGTGCGAGTATCCGGTACATTGCAAGCTTCCAACACGGTAAGATTCTGTAAAATGGGCCCCTTCGCGTGGCGCCCCGAGAGGCGTCCAAGTCTGACTAGTTTTCTTTCACCGAGCCTAAAGCACAAAGTGTGAGCACAGTGGAAAAAGCAGCCAAAGCGCAGCCAAAGTAAATTAATATCAAGCTTCTTTCATTTGATGCTTCAATAGCACTGCACTCAAAATCCTGCTTTGCTTCAAGCGCCACAACAAGCCTCACGGTCTGTTTTTCCTACTCGCTAAAGAAGTCAGAGTAGAAAAGCAAGTTGATCGCAGCAACTACACCTCGGGTGACAATGACACACTGCAAGGAAGCCTTTGCGAGTAGTCATGTTTCGGACAGCTACCCGCTACTTGGAAGTTACCTATTTGAGTCAGAACCTCTTCATCTTGCCCTTTCAACGGCCTTAAACGTCTGTTGCGATCCAACGTGCAAATTGTTGTTTCGCCATCCAAGGCACAGAAAGTGCTGCCGGGTGAGTTGGCAAGACCGTAGCAGGGGCAAGGCCGTAGCCTCACAAGGTGCCCAGTCCTTTCTCAAACCTACAGGACAAAGCCTACATAAAGACATGGCCTCCAACCTAAGAGCGATGGCCTCCAATGGAAGAATGCACCAAAAAGAGGTTCACATTCCTTCCTCGATCTGCCATACTTTAGGCTTCAGTTCCATGCTATGATGCACTGAACCCAAGTTGTATACTGCCTGGAACAAATCTAGAACTTAACCAAGAGGCGATTAGCACGATATCCTTCTGCACAACTCCAGTCAAAAGAAGATTCCAACCATGTTGCAGCCACAAGCCCTTCAAACCTCTTGGTTCTCTCATACTAGTAGCTCCAAGGATCCCGGCTGGTGTGACGAGCACCTGAGTTCATCTTTAGATCAGAAATGACACAGAGCAACACAACTGCTCGAGCATTAGATGATAAAGCGATCCGGAGAAATGGACAAACTTCTGCAGCTCCTTTGAGGCGCGATCCGGAGCATAAAGGAGCCAAACCAGAAGTTGTGGCCTTAGGTGTGTTATATAAACCAACCTACTACAGTAGCTTCTTGTTACTAGCAGTAATGGCCTCCAACCTCACAGGGATGGCCTTCAAACTATTAGCTATTCAACCACTGGATGGCATCCAAGTGTTCAACTTCCTCTACCATCTTCGGTCAAAACGGACCAGGTGCAAACGAAAATTCACCAAGTCTCGGGCCATGTCTTTCGGCCCAACTGGGTCTGCCCGCGCAGCCACTGGCCACAAATGGACCGATAGCACACGTGAAGAGACACATGCACCTTGTTACTAGTAGCTTCTTGTTACTAGTAGTAATGCCAGGAGCTACTAGTACCGCCCTTGTTACTAGTAGCGATGCACCTTGTTACTAGTAGCGATGCACTCTGGAAAATGGCCTCCCGCAAATGAATGGAGGCCCCCACGACCGTCGCAAAGACAAGGCCTCGCAAGTGCACGATCCCGTCCATAAAATCAGTGCTTGCATGAAAGGAAGACT